TACACGGCTAAGTGCTGGGGCTATGGCTAAGTGCTGGGGCTCTAGCTCAGTGTGAAAGGAAAGAGTGCAAAACTAAATCAAAAAAGAAAAAGAAAAAAATGACAAAGAAAGGTAGGAAGAAAAGAAAGAAAGAAAAGAAGAAAGAGAGAGAGGAAAAAAAGAAAAAGAAAGAAAGAAAAAGAAAGAAAGGAAGGAAGGAGGGAAGGAAGGAAGGAAGAAAGAAAGAAAGAAAGAAAGAAAGAAAGAAAGAAAGAAAGAAAGAAAGAAAGAAAGAAAGAAAGAAACCAGTAAAGCTCAGGACAATAACATATTAGAAGGCACCAATACAGGAAAAAAAATACCAAGAGTCAGATCACACATCCAAGCCCGTCCAGGGTGAACCGGTCCCCAGAGCGAGGTGCCCCCAGATGAATCAATCCGTTCCACCAAAGCACAACTCCAGAGCCATCGATCTCCACTCGGGGCGCTAGCCACCTTCCTGACTCAAGCCCTGACCACCATCTGCAGTAACCTTTCATATAGAGAGAACAAAGGAGGCAGCCCTGGAATTCCGGAGCTCTCAACTGTTTTAGCAAGGCCAGTACAGCTCCATTATCATAGGAATGAGACTTGACCAGTAAGCCATCACGTTATCTTCCTTAGGGTGTTGCCCCTGGAACTAACAGTGCTTTTGCTAGACTTCCTCTAGAACCCAACCACCCTGGCTTGGTCAGGCCTGAGGCAATACATCCAGAGAATGTCCTTCTCCACAACAAACAAATCTTGTTATAGGCAAAAGGATGTATGAATTTCCACCCATAATATATTTTAAAATTTCCAATTGTGTGTGATGAGCACTGCTATGATGGCCTCACTTTATATTGAGATTCTGAACCCCCAAATAATTTCATTCAGAAGGAATCCTCTTAGGAGGTGGTAAATTCATCAGGTAAAAATCTTAAGGCATGGGAGTACTGCACTTACAAAGCTAGAGCTCGGCCTGGCCCCTTCTACCAAGTAAGGACAGTAAAATCCCAGCTACCTATGAAGACACAAGAGACTTGCCCAGAGAGTAAGTCTGAATGCAGACTTTAGGGTGCACGTGAGTTGATGTACTCAGCAGTGCTGCTGTGTCTACCGCAGGCTTTAAGTCAGAATGAGAGACTTCTTTAGTCTGTGTATGGCCCGCCATTATTTTATATACCACTACTGCCAGTGCCACCTTCCAAAAGTGCACACTTCTCAGTCACAATTTTGCTAAGTTAACCCTATCCAAAATGGATAAAAAACAAGTAACGCTTGAAAGCTGCTTTGAAGTGAGAGTCTTAATGATGAGTCAGCAGATTCTAAGACCACCCCCCA